CAGGGACTCTTCCAGCCACCCAGGGTGGCTGTCATTAAAAATGGAGGAAGTGACGAAGCAGATGGCTTCTCCTACAAAGTTCTCTCTTGTGATTTCTGGGCTGGTGAAGAAGCTGAGTAGTTGCAAAGTGTCTTTTGTGAAGAGCAGCACAGCTTTATTGTCAGCTCAAGTTCCTAATAATAAGCTAGGATTCACCGCAGCCTGCCAAGGTTCCCTGAAAGGACTGGGGTATTCTCCCTCTTCCTTGAGCTGCTCCCATGTAGCCCTGCACTGCTGTAAAAGCTTGATCTAAAGGAATTGGCAGTGCTCTGGTCAGTAAGTAGTTAATTGCACAGAAGGCAGAGCAATGTCCGCTGCATGGGTAAAGTCTCTCACTGAGAAATTTTGCCTGTCCCCATCTCTCCTGCCTGTTCTTATTTGTCATTTCTCCCTCTGAATCCCAGAGGAGCGCCTGCTCTTCCGCAAGAAAAATCAGCTCCCTCTGTTCCCTGTGCAGACTGAGTGAGTCTGGGGTGCTCAAAGATGCTGGAGAGTCAGAAAAATCAATTGAATTTACTAAAGCTGCTTTCATGCTTGTTCAGAAGGCAAGTGGGCCTTTTTTTTGATGGGGGCAGAGGAGGGGGTGGGGAGGGCAGGCAAGTTCGCAGCTGTCTCAGGCCTGGAATGCTTTTTTCCTCCCCAGCTGCACCTACAGCATCTTCCCACTGCCAGTCCCGAGCAGGCAGGAGCACAGTGTAGCCACGCGGAGACTAGGGAGAGAGGGAAACCTGGTGCAAAGTCCACATGTGTACAATTGTGTCTGAGAGCTGAAACAGAAGCCCACAGTCCCCTACCACCCCATTTTATAGGTTACTGTGCATGTAACAAACCTGCATCTGAAAATGAAGGTGCTCTGTTTCTCTCTGAAGAAATAACCCTGTGTTTGGGACTGTGCTGTCTGATGACTAACCCCTGGAGATGCCACTAGCAGAAGCAGCTCTGCGGGTCACCTGGCAAGACTTGTCCCAGTTCCCGTGAGCAGCACTGTAGTATGAATGCTTCCAACTTCCTGCTACCTATGGAACCATCCTGTTCAGCTCCAGTAAGCAAAGGGAAGGGGTTGAAAAAAAGTTTGCTTGTTTGTTTTGCTGGTTTTTTGTGTGTCTCCAGTAAGCGGGGGGAGCATACAGCTCAATTCCTGTTTTTAACATTCTTGGGGCGTGATTCAAAACTAACCTGCTGTGCTGTCACCTGAAGTCTTCAATAAATAGTGCAAAACCAGAGTTTGGGTGCTGATTACTGTAATCCAGGGTGCCAGACCAGCTGAAGAGGAAAGCTGTGCCTTCTCAGTGATGTGTCTGATGTGTGCTGCATGCCCTGTGCCTCCCATCTCTTATTTTGCCTCTGTAGCCAGGGAAGGTGGCTTGAAAAGGAGAACAGAAGGTTGTGACATGGTCATCCCTCAAGCAGAAAGCCTGGCATCAGTGCCTTCCCTCCTGCCCCAGCCCAAGAGCTGCTGAGTGCTCCTGAGTGATGAGAAAATACACTAGGACTGTGATGCCCCTTAATTTCATGTTTTTCAGTAGCTAATAAACAGGTTATACTTAGCTTGGTAACAAGAGTAGTTGCGTGCTCTCCCTCAAAACTGATTCTGTTAGCTTTTTGGTGAGGGGCAGAGCTGTGCCTTACAGGAGGGAAGATGCTGAATATCAGGCCCACTGAGCTGAAGGGACTCTCTGTTCTCCTCAAAGATTTTTGTTCTCATTTCAGCAGCTCATGGAGGGAAACAAGCAGGCCTAGCCCTCCAAGCATCACACCGAGAAGTGCCTGTCGTGTTCTGTCTGTAACGTGGCCCACTGGCAGGCCCTACGTGGTGAGCCTCACCGAAGGAGCAAGCTGGCCTCTGAGGAATAGAAGGAGTACATAAATTGTTTAAGAGGAAGTCAGTTAGTTAAATGCAAGCAGAGACTTATATAATACATCCAAAAAAAAAAAAAAAAAGATTTCTGCTGGCAGGAGGTTCCATTGGGAGAGAAACTTGCTCATCCATAAACAAGAAAATTTCCCAGCATCCTCTAGTGCTTTATGATTTTTATTTTTTTTTTCCAGGGCAAGGTAGAATGCACTCAGTCTGTACTCTGAGACAGAAAGAAAATCATCATAGGAGAGCAGACAATGCTCCCTGCATGGACACGCACGCCAGTTCAAGCAGCTCTTCTCCATCTGCAGTGAACTACTCTGGTAGAAGCTGTGCACCCAGGAGCAGCAGAGCATCTGGACACCACTTGGGGAGCAAAGCCAACAGGCATTTTCTCCTCCAGATATTCACACCTTTCCTTATGTAACTGGAGCTGAAGTGTGTGCTTTAAAAGCTGCTTGCCAAATTCAGGGGCTGGGAGGCAGCACAAGTGCTTCTACCATTCTAGATGAAATTTAGGGGAAAAAAATCCAAACCCAAACACTGAGGAACTCGTACAAATCTGTGACTGCAAACTGGGGGTGGTGTAAGTGTCTTGAGAAACTGTACTGGCCTGGGGCAGTGCTGGCACCCAGACCATCTGCACAGGATGTCTGGCCTAAGGAGCTGTCTAGAGTAGATGGGTGAGGAGATGGGGGCAATTTTTCTATTGCCATATTAAAAAATATTAAAAATCATGTAGTGCAGTGAGGAAAAGAGCTCCAGGGTGGCTGAATTACTCTCCTGAATGATGTCTTGTGCTGACAGAGCCTGCAGATTTTTAAAAAAAAAAAAAAAAAAAAAAAAGGCATCAAAAAGCCAGGGCTGATGACCAGTGACAAACAGGTCACTGTGCTTTGTGATTTTTGGGTGGCACTGGAGCCAGTAGTGAGAAACATCTGAGGAGAGAGAAGCTCTGAAGTCCATTCCCGCCCACTACAGGGAAGGAAGAAGCTGCCCACAATGCCTGAGGGACATGGGGACACAAGTCCTTGCTCAGCCAGGCACAGCATCCTCGAGCCACCCCGTACGCTTAGATCCCTGCCTTGCCCGCAAGCCAGTTGTTCCCTCTCCAGTACGCATCGTACACTGGGCTTTTGGTTTGTTTTTCAAGGGAAAAACAATAATTTATTTGCTTTGTTTTAATCTCATAACAATGGGTAATTCCTTCCTACTGCTCTGTAGTGGCCTAGAAAAGGACAGCATCATCTCCACTGTAGCAAGAAGGCTTGTCCCAGGGCATAAAATTTTAATTAGGAACAATCACGCAGCCTTGAAATGGGAATTGCGAGCAGCAAAAAAAAGTCAAAGCATCAATAAAATATTCAATGGCAGAAATGTATTATTGACACAGGCTTTAGAGCAGATAAAAGCGGGAGGGCGAGGGAGCCAGAGTGGGTATTGAGCCTCACTCAGTTAAATAACACGCGGGGACCCGCACGTTCGCCCTGCCATCGCAGGCCCCCCGTGCCGGGAGGAATATAGGTCACCCACGGCTGGGGAGCTCCTGAGGTAACGTGTGGGTTTGATTAACGCCTCTCCCCCCCACCGCCACGTGCACCACAGCAGGGACAGAGGTGTTAATCAAAGTAATTTATTGCCTTACAAAACGCTGCTGCCTAGGCAGCAGCTGGGCGATGGTTTGTAGGACACAAAATGAAGAAAATCTGCGAAGTGCCACAGTCTTGAGCTGAAAAAACAAGAGTTAACCCCTGGCTACAGTACTCCTCCTAGGCCCCTGCCTGATTATCAGACCTCTGCGGGGGGACACGGTCGAGTTACACTGTCACCCATCCCATGCAACAGTTCCAAATCCTGCATCCCAGCCAAGGGGCATCAGCTGAAGGGTCAAAATCTGCTGTGAGATATATATTTTAAACTTTTATTTTCCACACCCTACCACACCTCCCTCCAGGAAAGACTGGTGCTGGTTTGACCTGTGAGATCATGACTGAACAGAAGTAACCCGCAACAACAATAAATAATATATAATCATAACAGAGGGCAAAATCCCCCACAAAATCAGATTCAAATTCATTTTCTGCCCCCGTTTTTTCCAATAGGAAGTGCCATAAGTGATGACCCTTTTCTCTTGATTACCATTTATTTTGCTGAAGGCAAAGCTACACATGTAGCCCCAAAAATGAAAGATCCAGTTTTTAACCTGCAGAGGTCAGTTTTTCAGGGCATGCAGAGGACTTTCCAAAATCTAGCCATATCCAAGGCAAGTGAGTTTTCTGAACCCACTTCTTGGGTGTTTTTCCCAAGCAGCACTGAAATGCTCTTTACAACCTCCATCACCCTCCACTTCTCTTAGCGAGGTGGAATCTTTTTAAAAAGCAAGAGAGTCCAAAAAAATGAGTGCACAAAGTCCAAAAAACAGGCAGATGGGAGAAACTAGATGCAGCTGCATGGAGCAAATGCATTTTTAACTAATTTCCCTGAGATACATGGTTTAAGGAGGGGGGTGAGGAGGAACTTGAAAAAGAACCCCCACAAAAAAACCCCAAAAGCCCCAATTCAAAAAAGACAACTTCAAAATTGCATTTCCTCACTGCAGCAGCTGTCCAGTGGTAACCTGAGACCAGTGATCTCCCAACAAAACAAACTTTAATCCTTCAATATCACTTGACCAACCTGGTGGCTGTGGTAGCACCTTGAAAATTGGCTTTGAGAGGGGCATGTCCCTGGGGACAGAGCCCAGCAGTCCCAGGGGAGATGCTGATGGACAGCAAGAGCTGACGTTCTTGGCTGCTGTTATCCAGGTGCAGACAAAGGGGCTTGAAGGCAAATGGGAGGTTTCCCCTTACCTGCTCCTATCTGCAGACAACCGCCATCCCCTTTGCCTCCTGTCCTAAAATGCTCCGAGCTGCTGCTGTGCATTATTAAAAGGTTGTCATGTTTCATCCCAGAGATGGCCACATCTCACCGGAGACAAGCTGCATCCGCCGGCTGTAAAGCACTTTGTGATTTTAAAAAAAAAGAAAAAAAAAAAAAGAAAAAAGAGCACTGTGTGCATAAGATTCAGTCGGTTATAAAATACTTACAGCTTTAATTCAGCAAATAGAAAGAGATGGCTTGGAAACGAAAGAGGCAGCTGCAGGGTGCACAAACAGCTCAGATGTGTCCGTCAGGCACCAGACCAGGAGCTGTCAGAGATGGCTCACCCTGCCCACAACAGCACGCTCACTTGGCTCAAATCCTTTCCCAAAGATTTATTGAAAACTGGATCTGCAGCACACAGGATTACATTCGCACAGGGAAAGCAGGATTTTACGGTGAACGCTGTGCCCAAGTCATGTTTTTTGCATATGACGCGTTGAAAACAGGCTTGAGGATCTGGACAAACTCATTCCCTCCCCAAACCGCTTTGGTTTTGCAATTAAAATACAAGGCAACCCACTGGGACAGAGGACAGATGAACAAAACAGTAGCTACTGGCCATCAAGAGTTAAAAAAAAAACAAACAGAAAAAAGAATCAAAAAAACCCCCAGGGGAAATGTCACCAAGAACGTTTTGGTCCTGCTCCCCACTCACATCACCACTGAGGAAGGGCTCATTCTGCAATTTTTTATTTTAAAAACAAGTTGAAAAACTAAGTGGATATGAGAAAAACAAGCTCCTGCTCTGTGCTCCATTGCTCCCTTCAAGCGTGGTCCATGGCACCATGGAAAATGGGCTTCTACTACAGGTTTCTTATAATATATATAAGAAAAGAGGGGTCAGAAATTTGTCTTAAAGCTGCTCTTGTGCCTCCCCTGCAGCCAGCGAAGAGGCTGTTTGTCATGGCCCTGCTTGCTGCGACCAGATGCTGTAAAATCTGTTAACTTGCTCCATCCAGGTGAGTCTCCAGGCAGGTCTCCACTGCAGCTCTGCTCCCTTAGTCAAAGGAACAAGGACTTTTCCAAATGTACGATGGATCTTTTGAGGAGGCTATGCAGAATGGGAGCACCGCTGTTTTCTGTTGAATATAGAAACTGCTTTAAAAAAAGTAGAAGGGGGTCACTTTCATCCGCAGGGGAAGATGGTTGCTTTGTGTCGTCAGTCTCTGGTTTTATTTTATAGTCTGTAAAAATACTCTGTCTGGCCGTCCACATCCATTCACGATATAAAGCAGTAAAAAAAAAATATAAAATATATATATATAATATGGTTTATTTATACAGTTACACTTGCAAGGCAATTGATCCTTCACTGCCTGGGCCCTTCTACCTCCAGATGTTCTGCCTGGTTGATACAACTGCAAGACAAGAGAGAAAGAACCACTTGAGCAATCCCACCATGGTGGGCAAGTGCTCCCAAAAAGGGGAGCAGAAAAGAGGATGTATGTGAGCGCAGAACCTGGGAGATGGACATGCAGATGCTGCAGCATCTGGCAAGATGGGGGTGGATGTATTGGGCAGTGAGGAGGACGGCAGTAGGGTTTTGCTGAGGCAATGGTGGCGTGGGTGGGAAGGGGATGCCAGGATGGAGGCAGCATCGCCATGGCAGGCAAGGACACCAGAGCTCACTTTTGCTGCACTCAAAAACAGGTGCAAGGTGAAAAAAGAGTAATAGGAGGTAGAAAGGGGTCTGGGGTGAACTGGTTGCTAAGATGGAGCAACAGTAGCTCCTGTAAAAGACGGGATACAAATTCTCCCCACCCTAATCACAGCAAGGTCTTAGCCCAGAGTGGCAGGAGAGGGGGTGAGGACCATCCTCTGCAGCTCCCAGCAGGGCAGAGAGCTGGACTACCAGCATATGAGCCCCTGGCAGCAGAGCAGAGACTGCTGGAGTGTGAGCTTTGTGCTTCCTAATGGCATCTATAAATAGCTCCGGCCTCCCACTACCAGCACACGCTTGCTCTCTGCAGCCCATTTTGGGCAGCAAAAGCCTCTCCCCTCTTCCCACCCATCCTCTGCAGACTGGCTCATGCTCCCAGGGCCCCAATGGGACATACGCACCCTCGGGATTCAGGCTGGACACCAGGGGCTCCGGCAGGGTCCTGGGATGGCTGAGGAGCTGCTTGGTGCTGACTCGGGGAGGTGAGTCGGTACCAGCGGTGGGAGGAAAACCTACAGGACAGGGAAATACACCTGGATTAGGCAGGGCTTGCACATCCTGTGCTTTGCTTTCTGGGCACAGCTGCTGCAGTGCTGCAGGGCAGTCACATCACCCACTCCAGGTGCTCTGGAGGAGAAACCACCAGGTCCCCTTCTGTGAGAGCCCCCCCCACCTCCTCTTGTCCCTGCAAGGATGCAGACATGGCCCTGGGCACCACACTCACCCTTCCCCTGCCAAACACAAAGAGGTCATTGGTGACCAGAGCCTGTCCCCACCAGCCCACAGCCCCTGGGGACTGATGCTAGCCCTTGGCCACCTGCTTTTTGCTACAGCTGCTGCGGTGACATGCAGCAAGGCTGGGAAGGAAAGCTCCCTGCAGCCACCTCAGCCCCTAAAGCAGCACTGCAGGATCTGAATTCTGAGCATGTCTACGAGCAGCCCCCAGGCTTCAGTGGGGGCGAGGAAGGAACCCCAGGGGTGGCAAAGCTCAGAGACCCACTGGAGTGGTGAGCGACTGTCGTGTCAGCACCAAACCCCATCCCTGCTGCCTAACCTCAGTGCCCAGGGCAGAACCAGCCAGCTTTGGGACTGATGCCTTGGAGAAGGAGGCAGGGAGCAGGCAGGGGACCGCAGAGCAGCCCCTGTGGCCGAGCCAGCGGCAGCATGCTGACCTCCGTTTCTCCGGTAGGCTGGCAGCTCGCACGGGCTCGGCTCCGGCTGGGCATCCTCCTCAGACCTGGCCTGCAGGACAGTCACCGTGGCCCCCGTCTGCTGAATAAACTGCTGCAAATTACACTGCCTCAGCTCCTTATTTAACTCCTCCAGCTCTTGGGTCTGGGCCTGCAAAACACACACCGAGGGAGGGAACAGGATGAGCTGCATGTTCCCCTTATGTCCCCAGGCCACAACCTGGGGATACAACCCCTGGGGCTGCTCCCACAGCTGGGGCTCACTCTGCCAAAGTCGGTGGAGGGGACCTCAGGAGTACTGTGGCTCAGCCGCCCCTCTCCGAGGGTCTGCAGGAAGGAGGGTGCTCAGGCAGTGGCGATGAGAAGGCATTGTTTTGGGAACAGCCCTGGTTTGCTGCATCTCCACAAGAGGGTGCGAGCAGCCGGCAAATGGCAGCCGCTGCTGTGCTGGGAGATGCCGAGCACAAATGAGATGCTTAAGGCAAGATGCTGGAAGCATGGCCAGCTGGGGAAGGGCAGCTACCTGGCTGGGTGAAAGCTTTTTGCTTTTGCTCCACCGAAGGGGACCCAGTAGGTGGAAGGCAGGAGTCACGCAGCCCCTTGACCCCCTGATGTTGGGGGGCTGCAACAGGTGAGCTGGGGGGGCATCGCAGCTCAGCCTGAGCTGCCATCTCCACACTGTGCAGCCCCCTGCCATGAGCCTGAGCCCCTGCACAGCTTGCATGGTCAAAAGGCTTTGTGCACAGGCACTATGAGGACCTATGCTATGCCCTCTGTGACTCCTTCATCCAAGATAACATCGACCCTTATGCCAGTGCCACCAACCCCACATGTGGACCATTTGCTCTCCAGCACCGTTGTCTGTGCTGGAGCAGGGTGATGCTGTGCTCCCAGGGCACTAGTCAGCAGGAGCCCTGGCCCAGATGCAGCTTGCATGCAGAGCAATGGGCGTGGGACCCTGTGCCAGCCGGGTCAGAGTGGAACTCAGTGCCACGTTCACTGCCCAGGTAGGGTAACTAACCCCACTCAACCCACTGGTCCATGGGGCTGGAAAGCTGGTCCCATCCCCTCCCCAAAAGTCCCACTACCCCATGGGGTGGCTCAACCCAGTCCTATCTACCTGCAAGTTCTTTTCAGCTTCCTCCAGGGCCTTCTCCACACTGGCCAGGTTGCTCTCCAGCTGGGTCCCTTGCTTGACCTTGGCCTCCAGGTCCCTTTTCATTTTGGTGGCCATGTCCTCCAGCTCTATGGGGCTGGGCAAAGAGATCTCCTTCCCCCTCTTGGCCCTCTCAGCCATCTCCCACTGGATCTCCTCCTGCAGGGCTTCAGTCCGGGCACTCAGCTCAAAGATCCTCTGGGTGTACTCCTCCAGGCTGGCCCGCAGGCTTCTAACCCGCTCCTGCCGCTCTCGCTCACACTCCTTTTCCAGCCGGAGCTCGCTCTGCCAAAATTCCTCCTCGCCCAGCTCTGTCTCATTCCTTCGTACCAGTTGCTCCAGATAGAGGATCTCATTCTCCTGGCCGGCAAGCCGGTTGCGCTCCCAGAGCCGTAGGTCCATTTCCAGGGTGTCCCCATGGGCCTCCAAGGAATGCAGCTGCTCCTGCTGCTGCAGCACCCTCCTAAACAGCTCCTCTTTGGAGGGTTGGACAATCCCCCCACCCTCCAAGTCGATCCCTTCCCGTGTTTGGTGCCTCCATCGGCTCACAGCGAACGGGTCGCTGGAGCCTGTAGGACCCAAGTTGAAGGTCATGGATTTTTTCGGCTCCCGAGAACGGGGTGCATCCATGCTGGTGAGCCTGGGCTTGATGGGCAAACTGGCCCGGATGAACGTCCTCTCGGGAGCTTGCGGAGCGCCCTCTGAGGAGGGCCGCTCGGTCATGCTGGGGCCTGTCCGCCGCAGGATGAACTGCACGTCGTTGGCATACTGTCCACACTTGGCCAGGGACTCCAGGGGGCACTCCAGCGGCAGCAGCTGCCGCTCCTTCTCCCGCAGCTTCTGCACCAGCACATAGCGGCCTGTCTGACCTGCCAGGAGGTGAGCATATCATTTAGGGAAAGCAGTGGCCAGCACTGGTGTGCTGAGGCTGCTGCCCCACCGGCAGCTGGTGGCATCCCCACAGTTGCAGAGCAGAACCCCCACCCACCCAAGGTCTCCCCTTCCCAGGAAGCTCCTGCAAATGGGGCATCCCCCCCGCAGATGGAGATGGCTCACCGATGGCCCGTGCCAGGGCAATGACCACTTCTTGGCAGGTAGTTTGCTCTGAGACACCGCACACAACCCTCTGGATCCCATCCACCCAGACCTTCAGCTCCATCCCCACGACTGCTGGGCCTCAGGTGCACTGGGTCATTGCAGGACAGGCTGCCTGTGGGGAGAAAAGAAACCAGGTTTCCATCCCAAGCCACTAACAAGGAATACAAGACACTTGAAAAGCAGTGTCATTAAATCATCATCCCATGGGTGAATCCTAGACCAAGGCTTGCTGCTGCCCTGCACAGATTGCATTTTTGTTGATGTTATTAAACACTGATATTCATCTGCAAAGAAAAATAATTTTTTTCCCTCATGTCTGTGATGGGAAGAGATGGGGTTTGTGCAACTGCATCGTGTCCAGAGGATGCCCAGGTAATTTCTGCTGTGAGCACAGACTTTTAATGGGTTTGCTAGACTTTCACTGCAATTTCTCTGACAATCTGATAGCATGGTACAGGAGGATTTTCCAAAAAACATTGGAAAAGGCAGAGAAACCACTGGCTGCCTGCTTTTACAATGGAATTTTGAGGGAAGGTGCAGATAATGCATATTTTAATCTATTTGTATCCATCTCAATTTATCAGAGAGGGATTAAGAAATTAAAATAATACCTCTTTCTGCATAAAAACATGACCAAAAGTCGGGTTTGGGAGAGGGATCCAGGCATAAACACCCGTGATGAAGCCCAGGCTCTGACCAACACTGGGGTCTGACTCAACTCTAACCCATCAGCTACTTCTACCTTAAAACAACACCTGTTAGCCTGGGCTCACCCAACTCCTGCCTCTTCCAGCAGCTCAACAACTGCAGCGGTCATAAATAAAAAAAAATTAAGCATAAGCTGTAAAGAATTCAAATATTTGAGCTTATACTGTTTTCAAACACTGTGCAAAGATATATCTATTTTCCTTGTTATAATACTGTTTTTAGTAGTGCCAGTCTTGTCTGAAGGCCCTGCATGGAGGAACATAGACAGGAAACTCCCAGGCCCTCTGTCCTGAGGGTCACAAACTGCTTTCACAACCTCACCCATGTGGTTGCAGTCCCTTTATCCTGTGCTCCAGTTGTCCCAAGTTTGCAGCCAGGCTGTAAGAAAGCTTGAACTCAGGTTAAACATTCCTTCATTATTTTTGTTGCCTACTTGAGTAATCAAAGGCGGGGGCTTGAAGGGTCCTATCTCCAGTGACGAGGAATTTTAGTCATGGTGTGAGAAAGGTGAAGAGGAAATAGGGAAGACATGCCTTGGTGAGGCTGTTCCGTGCAGGTGCTGGGTCCTGTTGGTGTCACCTCCCTGCCCACCTCCGAAACATGGGCACAGAGCAGTGCAAATACCTCAGCGCTGAGCTCATGTTTGCCTTGGCTGAGCGACTGGGGAAAACCGGTGGGGATGAAGGGCACATTGGGTTCGACTGACCTCCCTGAGAGCCCAAAACGACCAAAATTTGCAAGATTTGACCCAATTTAATTTTAAAGCTGGGTTTTGGCACTGCTCCCCCTATTCTGTGTATTCACAGCCGCAACTGTCCCCTGGCATGGAGCAAAGTCCAGGTGCCACTGCGGCACCACCCAGCTACCCTGAAACCACTGTTGTACACGAACAGACACACCCCAGCCTCCCCCTCAGCAGTACCCTAATGCCAAAATCGGAGTGGCAACACATCCTGGGGAGCATTATCCCCCTGCCAGGGACCCAGCTAGTATCAAATCCCACGTCCTGTGCCATGACCCGGGTAAGGAGGCCAGGAGTGTAAAAATAAATAAGAAAAATAACCCAGCTTGTTGAGTCACGCCACACAGTCTCACCTTGCCCGAGAAATCCAGTGGCTGCCGAACACAGCGGGCTGTGGAAGCAGGATGGCTGCTAGCACACGGGTCCCAGGCACCCGTCTGGGTTCAAACCCCGCACCAACCTCTGGCCCCGCCTTGGCTGGCGCTCCCGGGCAATCATTTACCAGCAGCCAGCACGTGGCACACCACTGCCAAAAAGCTGGGAGCGGTGGCAGCCAGCTTTTCTCCTCATGTGAGAGAAACCCCCACAAAAAAGCAGCCAGGGCATTGTCCTCGCTGCATCTCTCCCTCTCACATTCCCCAGCACCCCAAAACCCAGTCGATTTTATTGTTTCCTTAGATCTTTGCAAGCACAGGGGGTCCCTGTTAACTAACTGATCACTCACTGTAACAACTGGGGTATTTGGGACTCATTGTGCCCAGCTCGCTGCCAGATACAGGATGTTATCTGTCTCCCTGAAGAGGGTGCTAAATAGAGCTGAGGGCTGCTCCCTCCTGCCTTCCAAGGGAGGATCAGCTCCCACCCAAAACCAGCCTGGCTGCCCTCTTCCTCCAAAGCTCTGGGCTCACAGGGAAGACGACAAGACGAAGGTTCATATCTGAGGTAAACCTCCAGTGCTCCTTGCACCCTCCAGTTCCTTCTTGGAAGGGACATCACAACCTTAACACAGCATCTCATTCCCAATATCCTACTATGCCAGTATCACCCTAGTTCAGAAAAACCCACCAGGCAATAAACCTAAAAGCCTTCACCTCACCCCCAGCATCACCTCTGCTGTACTCCACCCAGCTCTTTACCATTAGTCAAAAAAACCCAACAGCTGGGGGACAGTCTCATTGCTCCACTTGCAAATACGACCCTCCTCTTCTCGAGCTTTGCTGCCAACCACCTGCATTAACAGTTACACCACCAGGTAACAGAAAAAATGGGCTTTTCCTTGAGCAAGAACTGCTTTTCTTGGGGAACAGAACCTTCTGGACGGGAGGCAGATTTCCAGCTGCCTGTTTGTATTTGCCCTAGGAGGTCACTTTGATTACAAGCCAGAAGTGCAGGCAGCTGCCAGGCCCTGCTGCTGCCCCAAAACAGCACCAGGGAAGCAAGCAGGTGGCTGCAGGTGCCGGGCCACATGACGGCCACTCATTTTATTCTTTTCCCCACCATTCCACCACTGTGGATTTGTAAACAATTTTTATCAGAAGCAGATTAAAAAAATGACTAATTTTCTGCTCCCGTCCTCATGCGATACATCCTAAAATTGAGAGTAGGGATGATTCATACCATGACTTCAACAGATTTCCTGAGAGTTGGAATTTCAAATGCCGACACTAAAAAAAAAAAAAAATAAAAATTAAAATTAAAAATCTTGGATCTTGCAGCTTTATTTTGTTTACTGACATTGTTGTCTTCAGCCTCTCTGAAACTGTCAGGCTAAAGGAAGAGGAGATGAAGCAGCATTTCTGCATGTGCAGGAGGATGAACATTCTGCTCCTGCAAACTGCCACCCTGATTGGCTGCTGGGACTTCCAGGGCTTGGTGATCTCCCTGGACCTGAAATAATACATGTGCACTCACCCTCCCAACACTGATTTGCAGGGACCCCTGCCGCGTCCCCCACAGGGTCCCTCAGAAGCTGAGACAGCACCTTCCAGCCAAGGACTGCAAGCACTTTGCAAGAGCCTTTCTACCACATTTTGCCACACACAGGAATAAAAAAAGTCTGGTTCAGAAAAAAACCACCCATATTGCACTTAACAGCAAGGCTATCCTGCAACCCAAATCCCAAAGTGTCCCAAAGACCTCTACCAGAGCTCCTAACAAGGACCATCTGGGACCAGCATAAAGGTTTTGAGATGAGCATCCCGCCAGCACTAGGGTTTCACACATTTCTGTGGGTTCATTCACCTCCCTAACTACGTCCACCCCCTGGCAGGAGAGCAAGGCCACAGGAAGAGCTTCCCAGAAAGTGTAATTAAAACTGAAAAGAATTGAGAAGACCAGCCTTTCGGGTCAGGGTTTGGGCTGGGGGTAGAGTCATAGAGACTCATAGTTAATAAAGATGTATTTGTACTTATTGCAGGCTGTGATGAGCCTATCTGTGAAGCACCAAGGTGTCCATGGGGAATAGCAGCTCTGCATTCCTTTGGATACACTCCAGGAAAATGCTGGGGTACTGTCAGTCATTTTATTCCTACTTTGAACTTGACCTTCTTGTTCCTCTCCCACCCAATGCCAGGGGGATGCTCATCCCAGGCACAGAAATAAAAAATAAACCAATACATAAGAAAACATCAAGCAGGGAGGGGAGGGGTGGCCCTGTGCCACCACCTTTCATGCTGGCAGGCTCACTGTGACTCACTGCCCTGGATCAAGTGCTGTGGTGACACATCCAGCAGCTATTTAATACTTCCTGAAGTCTCTCACTGCCCAAAGCACTGGGCCCAGCTCCTGGACACCAAAGGGAAGAGATAGTACTTGTCTGCCTGCTGAGACCGCTGGTGGGGGAGAAGCCTCCCTTCTACTCAGATGTGGAGAGGTGACCCAATACAGAAAAGATCCATAAAGAACCAAAGCCTCCTGACAACACTCATCCCGCAGCAGGTTGGAGGGGATGGGCTGTGGTCCAGGTTTCCCTCCAGACCATCAACAGTGTCCTCTTGCCTCAAGTCTCTCTTTTGGAATGACACCACCTGCCCTCAGCTGGGCTGTTGCAGGGATCAAGCAGCTCTGCTGGGCTTTCCATGTCATGTCCCTCCCAGGCCAGAAGGTGATACCACAGTCAACGCTGACACTGCTGGCGTGTCCAGCACTGGGTAGAGGTCAGCCATGGCAAGGGTTGACAGTGTGGCGCTCCCAGGGCTGGCAGTTCCCATGCTGGGTAGAGATGACCATCGACATCTCTGAACGAGCTGTCTGTGCAGCAGACTCTGGGGACCACTGATGGACACTTGCACTGCATCCAGGAGCAACAGAGAAAGCCCCTGCCTACAGCGACTTGGGTACATGCCCTTTCCATTGTGCCAGCTTGTCCTGAGGATGGTGGCCCCAGAATCCCGAAGGAACACATCCCCTGGCCTGGTGCAAAGCTGTCAAGACCTGCCAAAGAGGTCATTGTCTTGTCCTTCAGCATCAGGGCCATCAGACTGTGGGCAGGACATCTGCACAGGGCTCCAAACCAGAGCAGCAAATGGGTTACTTCAACCCAGCACAAAGCATTGACAGTGGTTAAATGTGCTCAAGAGATGACAAACGAGTCCTACCAGAGTGGTCACAGCCCAGAGAGGCAGCTTTTTATGCTTCCCTGTCACAGGGAAGGTGTGCAAGCATTACTCACCCCTCAGGCCTATGGAAGCCACCAGCTCTTACGCAAAGCAACCACAAGCACCCAGGAGCAAGGAAGCAGCAGGCATGGAGCTCTAATTTACACCCAAGCAGCTTATTTAGGGGTGGCCATAATAGCCCCCACATCCTCAGTTCACCCACCATCCCCTATCCAGCTCCCCACTCTGCCATGATGTGCCTGACAGCAAGCCCTAAAAATCAGCAAATGACTGAAATTGGTAATTTAACCTGAAGGTGCAGTTTTACCAGAGATGTGCAGATGGACCCCAGCCTAAACACACCCCCAAGCACGCGCGCTTTGACACCAAGCAGTGTCTTCTGTGGGCATCCTACAACACTTAATGCACATTCGGCATCTGCAGAAGTTTCATCCATGTTTCAAGGGCTTTTTGTACCCAAAAGGTGTCAAAGAAAAACTATATCCTGTGGCACCTGCATGCTCAAGAGCTGAAGCGTAACTTCAGTCTGAAGTCACAGACCACCACCGAAGTCCCCTGGCAGCCCAAGGAGGATGAGCCCCATACATGAGGATCTTGCAGGAGCTGCCCAAAGAGACAGATTTCTGGAGAGCCATAAGCACTATGCCAGCAACCACCTATTAAGAGAAAAATAGAGGCTTGGGGATTTTCTGCTCCACTTCCTCCCCAAAATTACAGACCCACACTAACACACCTGTGGAGGCTAGCAATGTTGAGCAGGGCAAGAAGAGTCAGGGACAAATCCTGCCCAGGGCTGTGACACAGGATGGGGACAGTCCTCGGGGTGATGGCCTCCAGCAGATTTTGGGGAGGGAGGCTCATACTATGGCTGATGTCAGACACTCACTCCATCCCAGCTCCACCTGTGGGGATTTCTCTTACCATTTCTTTAACCCAAGCTTTTGGATCTGCTACAGCATCAGACCCACATGAAGGCTTCAGAAACAACACTGGGAAGAAGCCGGGAAACTTTTTTCTCCCCTCTCTTAAACAAGCTAAGATTTATTGGCATGGCAGGCCAGCATTGAGAGCCAATTCAAGGATCACAGGCAGTAATGACATTTCAGGGATGACTACCAGTCAGTCCCTCCCAGAGATGAACCACCAACCAAAAGCTCATTATATATTAAAAGCATCAAAAAAAACCCCTCCATCTACTGCACACACTCACATTACAATGTTTCAGCCTTGGAAGCGGAAGGATCATCTTTCGCACCTTCACGCATCACATTTCTCCCTTGCAGCACTAATAGTTACTGTCCATGGGGGAAGAAGAGCTGGCAGGGCTGGCTAGTAAAGTCTGCCGTAAACATGAAGGTTTTCAAGGGAACCATTAGCAGCACCTGCTATTCCTGTAACCATTACCATCCCCCTCAGACCCGCATGTGAAGAGTGACTTCATGAAAGCAGCTGAAAGTAAATCCATAGTTTCTTTTCAAGGGGGAGAAGCAAAATTAGCAACATGTAGATTAGAGGGGAAAGAGGAAGGGCTTTTGTACTGCCATGTTCATTTTTCCTTTCTATTGAGCTCGCCCTAATGCCATGCCCAGGATGGGCTGGGGAGGTATTTAGGTTTCCAGCTCCCAGCAGAGGCAGGGCTAGGTATCGGTATTTCTGGGCCCTAGGCTGATCTAGAACTGATCTAGGCTGATCTAGATTAGGTTCATCGTCATCTTTAGGGGATGACTCTCAATCCAGCTCTGAAGGGTATTTGCCAGACCATCTGCACAGAAACACAACCATGGCACGCATATGCCAGCAGGTCCCGCGTCTCTGCTGCATTCATCTTCCACAGCAGTCATCAGTGAAGG